AGAACAGGAGAATACTGCATGGTTTAAAATCAAGAAAAATGTATGATAGGGTTGTATTCTCTCATCATACTTACTCAATCTATATAATCAGAAAATCATCAGAGAAGTTGGCTTATATAAAGAAAAATAAGGAAGGCTTATTAACCACCCGCAATGCGCAAATGACACAACCTTGTTTGCTGAAAATAAGGAGGACTTGAAGCAGTTACTGATTAAAATCAAGGATCGCAGCCTTTGCCGTGGATTACAACTCAATGTAAAGAGGATCAAAATCTTCACAACTGAACGAATAGGTAACAGCATGGTAAATGAAGAAAAAGTTGAAGTTGTCAAGGATTTTGTCTTGCTTGGATCCACAATCAATGCTCATGGAAGCAACAGTCAAGAAATCAAAAGATGATTTGCATTAGGTAAATCTGCTGCACTAGACCTCTTCTGGATATTAAAAAGCAAGGATGTTATTTTGAGAACTAAAGTGCGCCTGACCCAAGCCATGGTATTTTCAATCGCCTCACATGCATGTGAAAGTGGGACACTGAATAAGGAAGACTGAAGAAGGATCGATGTATTTGAATTGTGGCGCTGGAGAAAAAGATTGAAAGTACCTTGAACTACTAAGTGGCCAAACTGATCTGTCTTGGAAGAAGTATGGCCAGAATGCTCCTTAGAGGCAAGGATGGCAAGACTTGGGACATAATGTCACTGGTCCCTGGAAAAGGTTATCATGTTAGGTAGGGTCGAAGGGCAGTGAAGGAGAGAAAGGCCTTCAGGGAGACAGATTGACACCGTGGCTGCAACAGTGGGCTTAGGTACAGGGACAATTATGAGACTGCGCAGGATAGTCAGTGTTTCGTTCCGTTGTGCATAAGGTCATTATGGGCTGGAATCCACTCAATGGCACCTAACAACACAGCTTTGTATGCCATTTCATTATATATATAAATCTCTATGTACATAGGAGCCCTGGTTGTGTAGGGGTTACCCTTTGGGCTGTGAGCCGCATGGTCAGCCATACAAAACCACCAGCTGTCCCCCTTCCCCTCTGGTTTTCTGTTGTTCCCCCTGGAGGGGTGTGTGTGGTTATGTGCCATTCGTTGCAATAGGTACCCACTTCCTCCCTAGCTGTCCCCTCTTTCCCTCTACCCTTTTGGTATCGCTATTCCTGTCCCTGGGTTCTGTGTGTCGTGAGTTTTATCTCTTGCTATGCCTATCTATGTACATGGTCCCGTCCAGTCCAGAGTGGGAAGCAGCACTGGGGTCATGATAGTAGGGGGTGAGGAGGCCTCAAGGGACCAGAGGTATATTACGTGGCCCATCAGTGCTCTCCTGCACCCTGATTGACACATCCCCTCCCTGTGACCCGCCCCTGTGGGGGATGTTCTGTTGTCCACAGTTGGGCTTTGGGGCTCTGCTCCTACCCCCGTCATTCTCACCAATGAATTTTTGTTGTTGTTGTTTGTTTTGAATTTTCTGATGCCCATTGCCAGGTCCCGATGACACCTCATGATCGCTCCGGCTGGTGTGATCTTCCATGTGGGCTGTTGCTTCACTGTTGGATGGTCGCTTGTTTAACTTCAAGCCTTTAAGACCCCAGACACTACATCTTGTAATAGCTGGGCACCATCCTCTGTCTTCACCATACCTGCTATGCACCTGTTTTGTCTTCCACGATCATGTGGGGGGAGGGGTGGGTTTGAGCATCACAAAATGCCATTTTGTTAGAACAAAGTGTTCTTGTATCGAGGGAGGGTATGAGCTGAGGCCCAAGGCCCATCCGCAGCCTCAGTGGATTGCCTTATAAATATATGTACATAGGTCAGTGCCTCTATTTTTATGGATTAATGTATTTACCTAAATACACACCTCTGTTAATACCTCTATATATAGCTTTGTTTCCTAGAGCCTTCCTGTTTCCTTTTGCCTCCTCCTGCCCCACCATCATGTTTCCCCTTCTTACACCTCTTAGTACTTCCTCTCAACTGGATTGGTGTTGCTCTAATACCCACAGAATCTCTACAACCCTCTAGATGTTGGTTTTAATTCCCTGATTGTTCCCTTGTCTATGGCGTTGTTTGCTCACCACATACACCCACCCCCACAGCCCACCAACCACCACCTTCTTCCCCCAAGACCCTCCCTGGCTATTGGCCCTGTGGCTTTCTCCCAGAGCTTGTTTCCCATGTCTGTCTTATGTAAGTAGGCAAACCAGAAATGTCCAAACAATAAGAAAACAAAAGATTGAAAAAAGAAAAGGAGAAAAAAAAAAAACATCTATAGTTCCAGGTCTGTCTGCTGTCTTTATGAGTCTCTCGCCCCGGTCCTGGGGGAGTCTCAGGGCTGCCCCTCCTAGCCTGAAGTCTATTTTTAGGGGGATTTGTGGGTTGACTTTGCTCCAATTGCTGATCTGTTATGCTCCCTTCTTGGTTTATCCCGTTGTGGGGGATTCAGGCCACAGTACTCCACCCACCTGGGGGGCCTACTGCATTCCCTCACCCCCATCTTTGAAGAAGCCCCCCAGCTGCTTCTGACTCTGCTCTGCAGTGAACCCACCCCTACTTCTGAGTTATCCCTGGAAACATTGAAAGTCCACTTTCATTTCTGTGTCCCAGCAGCTAGTTTCATTTCTCCTCCTCCTCATCGTGAGGGGAGGGGCTAGATGGTGGGAAGGGCAGAGTGGTTCACACACCATTTAAAAGCAGAGGAAGGACGACCCAAACTGATGTTCCTGCTCTCTGCTGGGAGCCCCTGCAGGTAAGAGCCCCACCAGCACTGGGAGAGGCTTCATTGGCAACAGAGGGCTTTTTTGTTTACTGTTTACAGTTCCTAAGTGGCTTGGCATTTGCCTGGTAACCTCGGCTTGCGTCAGAGGCAGGATCCAGAAAGCTGTGTACAATTTGATGGTGACCCGTGTGAGGCAAAGGGCTGGTTGCTGCTGGCCCACAGCCAGCTCTGAATGCAGAGGGGTGGGATCCAGCTGGCTGCAGCTGCCTCAGAATCGGGACAACTGGGAAGTGGCTGCGCTGGAATGGCTTGGAGACACCATTGCTCAAGGCTGCAGGGTGCATGGAGTCTGGAGGCGGGGTGGGGAGTGTTGTGCACTAAATTCTGGACTCTGGGGCTTCCCTTGCAGGTTTTGTGCTCAGTGCTCTGTCTCAGTGCCATGGGTGGAGCGGTCCTGATCTGGAGCATTTGCCAATCTCCCTGGTGTAAACATACTCTACCACCATCACCTTATAGCCAACTCCCATCCAATAGGAGCGGCCTCAAGCACCCTGGTCCTCCTGGACCTTTGGGGCCCCAGCATTAAGGTGACATCCTGCTAGGATGACACCTCTCGATACTGTTCTGTCTCATCCCATTTAGGATGTTTACTGCAGTGATGTTGTTGCTGTTCTTTAAAGGAGAGTGGGGGCCAGCATTGGGGATAAGGTCAAATTCCTTTCCTGAACCCTTGGTAGTTGTGATTCTGCCTGGTACAAAGATGCTGAAGTCAGGGCTGAAGTCAGAGTGTAGCTAAAAATAAATAAATATATAGAACATCTCCTGGTGTCAGGACACGCCCAGGGATGCTGTAGTAGAGTCTAGAAAAACAGCAGTGCTGGGCGGAGCTGCATGGAAGACACACTTTGTTTGGACTGGAGGCTCTGCGCCTCAGCTGGCCGTCCCTGCCCCTCACAGCTACTGTCACCCTTCTGAGGAGTTAAGTTCACTTTGATCCTGGTTGCACTGTGTCCCCAGAAAAGACTGATTAAAATCCTGTGGCTTTGTTTGGGAATAGGGTCTTTCTTTGAAGATGTTACAAATGAACCAGGTCATAGTGACCTAGAGTTACACCATCCGATGGAACTGGTGTTTTATAAAAGAGGAAAATAGATATGAAAACAGGGTCACACACAGGAGGAGGGCATCATGCGGAGAGACAGCTACCAATGGCAAAGGATCAGCCAGGTCCTCAGAAGCTAGCAGGGAGGCCGGGGGCACTTCCTTCCTCAGCCTTAGAGGGATGGCCGAACTCCCAGCCTCCCAAGCCATGGGACATTAAATGTCAGCTCCTAAGGCCACCCACTTTGTGTTGCTTGGTGACAGCAGCCCTAGAAAACGTATGGCCAAGCCTCATCCCAGGAGAAGGTTACCTGACAGGAAAACCACCACAAAAAGGCTATGGTGGCTTCTAGAGGGTCATCCAAGGCCAAACAGTCACCAAGCCGGAGTCCCGGCTCTGGTAAGCTATCTGGGAAAATTAGACATTGAATTCCTCCCCACTGTTCAACCTCGGAGGGGTGAAGCCAAGTCACGTGAATATGTAAGCCATGTGATTTCCTTCCTCTTGTTCCGGAACTGAAGAGCAAATGTCAGCCAACCAGACTGTTTGTTGTGTTCTGCTTCTGCGCCGTGCCTGGAGAGTTGGAATTGAGTCCGTGGCAGTGAGTTTTTGAGAGCTGGCTTCAGGGGACCTAGTGGTGCCGAGGTGTAAGCATCTCCCTGCTATGGTTCACCTGCACCAGCTACTCTGCTGGAGACAGACGAGGCAGCCTGCTCCCCTAAAGACTTAGGACACTTCCTCCTCTAGGGTCTTGTGAGTCTGCGCTGACCCCATCCCAGGCGGGTTGGATTTGGGTAGCCCGCCTGGCTGCCCTTGGCTATCCTGATTGAGTAGCTGCCCTGGAGAGCTGAAAGCAAGTCTTTGTCTTTCAGCCCAACAGCACACAGAGTCAGACTTGAAAGGGGAAAGGAACAAACTCCTTGGGCTTGGCTGGCTCTGTGTTGGTGCCTCTGTTCCAGTCCCTTTGGGGAAGGCCTTAAAGCAGCAGACGGAGGCTTTCCATCCCCGTTTCCGCAACCCACGGCGGCCCTTCTGCGTCCAATCATTGGCTGTGAGCTTGGCTTTTGTTTTTCTTATTATCCTCATCCTGTGTCCTGAGGGGCTGGCTCCCATCCGTGTAGAGAGTCGGAGAGAACACTCCCTAATGGCCGCTGGAGCTGAGTAGGCACTCCCTGTGGGTCTTTCTTTTCTCCTGCATGGATTCCCTTCCTGCCCTGAGAGCCAGGGCACAGCCAGAGGCAAGGGGATGCCTCCTGCGCCCTCCTCCTGGTCTGACTTTCAGGTATGTTAGCGGCATGTAGCGTCAGTAGAGTTCTGGGAGCCTACCTTACTGTCCCTACAAAATGGAGTCCCGGAACAACCCCCGTAGGAGACACTTTCCTGCCCAGCCAGCTGGGAGAAGCAACAGTGCTTGTTTATTCCTCGGGCGGGGCCTGTAAGTCCCGCGGAATATAATAAATGGCTGTCTCTCTGACTACTTCCTGGGCAGTTCTCCAGTCTCAGCCTCTACATAGAGAGAATCTCTCCCTCTTGGGGTCTTGAGCCCAAACCCCTTGGTTGTCACCTCGCGGGTTCCTTGCCTTTTCCGTTCCTCTGTGCATTTCTCTGTTGGCTGCACCCTGGCTCCTACCGTGCTCTTCTTTGTCCCTCGCCGCTGCTCTTGCTGGCTGTCTTCTTTATCTGTCGGACATCCCTCTTTCCTTTCTTCTCCTTGCAAGTCAGAGCCTCCATCTCCTGCCCTTATGATGTATTCTGGGCTTCTAGAAGCTTCTAGATGGGGAGGAACCCACAGTGCAGTGACTGCTGAATAGCAGAGGCCTCCCGGTCCAGGACTGTGTTTTTGAAAAACTGAGAAAGTCAAGAGGAGAAGTGAATGGTGACGCACAGGGCATTTGCGTGATCCCTGTATGAGATATGGGTGGCAAGTCCAGCAAGGGGTTGGATAGGCCATTCTGAGTCATTTTTAGGGGGAAATGTGAGACATAAACCATGTTCCTGGTTCTGAGACAGTGGTGGCAGGGTGAAGTTTGCTTCCAGCAAGCCCAAGTAAGCAGAGCAAGCGTCAGGTCTCCAGAGGCTGCAGTCAGTTCACAGAGGCCGGGTGAGAATCAGCCTGAGCATATGAACAGATCTGGGATGTCAGTGGGATAAAAACCCAGAGCCTCCCTGGTCCTTCCCATGTCGTCAGACTGGAGCATGGGGATGGTGGGGGCGGCGATAATCCTTTCAATGCCAGCACCCCTGTCTTGCTACATACAGCCTTTCTCTGAGTCTAATTGCTTCCCGTCCACAAGTATTACTTACATCACAGGGTTTGCACCTAAGAACCCAACTTTCCCTCTACCCTTTCTGACCAGATTAGGTTCTGAAGCAAACACCTTTTGAAGGGCACCTCCTTAGACTCTGGGTTCCAGTTTTTCTCTAGGCTGTTTCTCTCATCCGGAGTCAGAATTAACTAGACCGTAACACAAACACTGAACCGGTTGGCCTATAAGTTAGACTTAACCAAAGTACGGTACCAAGTGACTCAGCCCACATGTTCTGGGAGTGCATTCCCAGGAGAAGTTAGCTCAATTAAAAGTTTTAAGCTTACTGTCTACTCTATTTTCCAAGATAATCCAGGATCAAAACAGAATTCATGAAAATCCCTCTCTCGCTTCCGCTTGTCTCTGCAACTCTAACACTTCTCTAACCCGGAATGGAGTCAGAGGAGGGTGGCACCATGGATGACACAGAATGACTCCTGTCCCATCAGAAGTGACAGTGCACCATCAAAGCTCTCTGGTGGAAATGGGACATCCAGAGTTACCTCTTGTCTCCAAGCGCTGGGGTCTTACAGGGCCCCTCACTTGTATTCTGTGACTGTTTGCTTCCCAGAGCTCCTCCAGCAGATATGGGGACCTGTGGTGGGCTACGGTTTCCTCTGCGTTGCGTTGTATTGTGTTGTATTGCATCATATTGGGATTAGGTTACATTGGATTGGCCCAAGAAGGGCCTGGCAAACATGAATCCTAAGTGTTAGGCTGGGTTCTCTAGAGAAGCAAGACCAGCGATGCTTGTATGTATAAGTAGATGGAAAGAGATTGATATCAAGAATTGGCTCACACAGTAGTAGGAGTAGGTAAGTCCAATCCAACTCAACTCCTGTAGTTGCAGGTTGATAGAGTTAAAGTTTATTGTGCCAACCTGGCCGATAAACACATTTGGGGTTAATTGAAAGGTGGAAAGATAAATGGCTTGGTAAGCCTCGCCTTTCGAGTTCTCAGCTCTCTTGCTTTCTGATGGTCGGACCAGGGTGCAGTTGCCTTAGCCAGTTCCCTGCTTCAGCTGGCAAGGCTCACTTCCTGCAAAACATCCCTGAGAAGAAGCCACATGGACCTACCCCGATGCAGCCCTGGGTGCTGGAGCAGCCGTGTGGAGACCCCTGCCAGCACTGAGATGTTTACACACTCAATGACTCGGCTTTCCTCCTGCAGTCGGCATCATTGTGTCTGTTTTGTGAGATAGAAGAGGACTTGTGGATTGGTGTTGGACATATGGGTTAATGTTGGACTTGTGGGCTTGGGCAGCACTGGGTTGGGATGTTTTCTTGATGTGCACTTAACCTTTATATAAAACTCTCTCTTATACATGAGTTTCTGTGGATTTGTTTGTCGAATGGACCTAGACTGACACACAGGTTCAGGGGCTGACCAACAGAAAGCAGGGAGATGAAAGAGGAAGACCATAGGCCGATGGATGCTGATCTGAACGAGTTTGAGATCAGCCGAAAGAATCCAAGGTTGGCTGCATGCTGATGGCTCCTGGGCTTGGCAGTCAATATAACAAGAGTTTGAGGAACCAGGTGCAGGATCCAAATCCAGCAGTGGAAGAGAGCTAGTTTGCACACACTGTACATTTAGACTAAGAGCAGGCCACACCCTGAATGGAACCTCCCTCAATCATATCAAGGCTGTGACTAGAGTAAAGAGGTCTATTCTCCCCACAAGGAGCCTTGCTGATGTAGTGGTTACGTGTTGGGCTGCAATCCGAATGGTTGGCAGTTCAAATCTGCTACCAGCTCCTCAGGAGAAAGACTGGACTTTCTACTCCCATAAACAGTTCCAGTCTTACTGGAGTATGTACACTGGTACAGATAAGAGCTCTGGAATCCAGGCAGATAAACCCTCAGGAACAGTTGTGGGAGTGTCGATACCATGAGGGTGGAAGAGGAAGGGGTGGGAAAGGGGGAGTAAGGGGGAACTGATCACAAGGTTGGATATAGAACCCTCCCCCCCAGGGGGACAAATAATAGAAATGTGGGTGAAAGGAGACAATGGATGGTGTAAGATATGAAATAATAATAATACATAATTGATCAAAGATTTAGGAGGGTGGTGGAGGGATGGGGAAAAAGAGGAGCGGATACCAAGGGCTCATGTAGAAAGAAAATGGGGAATGATAAGGGTAGCCTATACACAAACACGCTTGACACAATGGACCTGCGGATGGATTGTGATAAGAGCTGTAAGAGCCCCCAGTTAAATGATTAATAAAACATTAAAAAAAAATAGTTACCGTCTTGGAAACCCACAGGGGCTCACTATGAGTCAGCATTGACTTGATAGCAGCTAGTTTTTTTAATTTATTCTCCCCACAACTGCTTGGCTGCTTCACAGAAGATCCCATCCCATCCTGGAGTTGACCGCACTATGTTACATCAGACTGTGGGAGAATCCTGGCCCAGCCAAGATGACAAAAAACCTAAGTGTCACACTAGGGTTGGGCTTGTTGGTGACCATTGAGCCCCTCTTCCATTTTGTATCTTTACAGCACTCTCCAAGGAGATTGGAATCACAGGAGAACAGCAAGAGAACCCATCAGCCTTGAATGGGCACTCATTAATGCTTAAGATTCATGAGTCTTGGTGCTACTGGAAGCAAAAGCCAATTTCTTCCAAGTCCCATTCCAAAAAGAGAGATAAGTATGTTTCACCACCACCCAAAGGTATCATCCCGCACAGTGAAAAAGGAGAATCCCGCAAGCCAGCAAGCCGGAGGAGATCTCAACAAGCATCTCTTCACACTGACACTGAACGAACAGGTGACCAACATACTGCCAGCAGAGAATGGGAGCCAGGCCAGCGAAAAGGTAAATCAAATGGCCAACAAGTGCAGGTACTGAGCACCAACCAGAGGTGCGTGGCCATCGGGCAAGCCACCAATGTGCTCAGGCCAGCAAAGTGGCCCAACCTTGATGCACAGCCCTGTTCCCCAGTCACTGCAACCAGGGGCATATGCAGGCTCTACAGCAGTCCTGGCCCTCTCAGACTTGGGACTGGAGGCCCCTTGCCTGCTGTCAAGCCAAGGTCCAGAGTCTCCAGGAAAGACACGTCTTACACGTGGGCAGTGGGTGGAACAGCACTTTACTCACATGGATAAGAGACAGAGAAAGCTCAGCTAAATGGTGGGCTTCAGTCCCCTATGGCCAGCAGGTGTCACAGAGCTGGTGTGTGCATGCATCCCACTCATGTGGCCCCTGAGGGACCCCGTTCCCTCCCTGCCAGACATGGATGTCTCAGTGAGGTTGACCAGGTGCCCTGTGACATTTATCATCAGCAGAACAAAGGTGCTCAGTAAGCCTGGAAAGGGAAAGGAGTTTCCTTGAGAAGAATAAGAAATCAAGAGAGAAAAGTCTACACTTCCAGCCCCCTTTATCAGAGAAAGGGGCCCTGGGGGCATCATGATCATGCACTGGGCTGCTGCTAACTCCAAGGCTGCTGCTAACTCCAAGGCGCACCTGGGGAGAAGGTTGAAGCATTCTACTCCCATAAAGAGTTACAGTCTCGGAAACCCACAGGGACAGTTCTCCGCTGTCCTATTGGGTCGCTATGAGTCAGAGTCGACTCGATGGCAGTGGGTTTATCAGGGAATATTCTAGACTCTGGGTCAGAGTTGCACAGCTGTACAATACACCGCCTTCCCAACACATAGACCAGAGCACCGTCCTGGAAGCTTTTCCTTCGGCTGCTCCTGCTGCTGCAGTCCGCATAGCCACTGGACTCTCCACTCCCCACCCTCCTCCACCCCTGCAGACCTCCTTCAGCCCCTCCTCCAGAGGAGTTCCTTCCAAATACCCGCCTCCCCTGAGGACACCCCAGTATGAACACAACACAGGCCCTCCCTCAAGAGAGACACGTCTTCAGCCACTTCCCTCAGCCCTGGTCTGCAACCCAGCATCAAATAAACCAGGGGTGCTCACACTTTTATAGCATGCAAGCTACTTATAAAATGACCAAGTCAAAATGATCTACCAACTACAAAAATGCAAAGCATCTATTTATTTTTATTTATTTACTACATTTATTCATAAATGCATTGAGAATTCTTTATATGTACAATGTATGTTTATGTACCTGGCAAAACTGCATGAGTCCATATTGCACAGCACAACACAATTCACTATGTATATTTTTTGTCATGACCTGAGTTTACTCCGATGACATGCACTGAATGGAATGAGCCAAGGATGCATAGTCCACACAGTAGCTGCTGACAGCCGGCCTCAAGCACACTTCCAAATGATCATCAGGCATGGTGGAACGGTACTTGGACTTAGTGATCTTTATGTGGGAAAAGGCTGACTTACATAGATAAGTAGAGCCGAATCATGCAGTCTCAGAGGTAGCACATGTTCTCATGTTTGGGTACTTTCCCTCTGCGAGTGAGTTCCAGAACTGCTCGTGGCTCTGGACTTCAGCTGAATGTTGGCTTGTCGTGTCAAAATCTCCCATTCCGTATGAAAGTGATACGTTTTTGTCTTTTTATTTGGTCCAGCTCCCCAACTCATTTTAATATCCTTTCTTAAGACAAAAAAACCAAGGTCTAAAAATTGGCGATAACTTAGCTTGTCAGGTTTGCGGCACTTAGTGCAGTTGTTTGCGCATGTGTTTGACACCTAAGATTGCTTGTGATTGGCTGCGCTGTATATCAATGAAGTGACTGGATTGATGATAGGCTTATGTCTATTTTTTAATGCCATGCGATCTACCCACACTACATTTGATCTACTGGTAGATCACGATGGATGCATTGAGCAGCCCTGCAATAAACAGCTCGTTGGAGCCAGTCTGGGTTGAGTGGATTCTAACTGTACCTTGTGTGTCAGGGTAGCACTGTGTGACCCTTTGGAAGCGGAGCACTAGGCTCCCCAGGGTCCTCTGGATGGCTCTGAACTGCCCCCTGCCGGGTGTGCAGCCTTGGCGCATTCCCAGATGCTCAGACTCTGTCCCTGGTCTCCAAGGCCGGGTGCCGTGGGCGGAACCCCAGCCTGGAAGCTGGGTGGGTGAAGCCTGTCTGCTTTCCTCAGGGGAACCTGTACAACCTGTATGAGGAGAAGGTGCGCCCCTGCATCGACCTCATCGACTCCCTGCGGACCCTGGGCGTGGAGCAGGACCTGGCGCTGCCCGCCATCGCAGTCATCGGAGACCAGAGCTCCGGCAAGAGCTCCGTGCTGGAGGCGCTGTCGGGTGTCGCCCTGCCCAGGGGCAGCGGTAAGCAACAGGGCAGTGCCCCATAGCAAGTGACAACAAGCCACCCTTGGGGAAAGAGCCAGCCGGCTTCAGCTTCGCAGACAAGTCATCAGGAAGGAGGGAGCCCAGTTCTGGGCGACGTAGGCTCAGGAGTACAGAGCAGGGTTTGGATGGCGGCCTGGGTGTCCTGCTGCGCTGTCTCAGCCACCCTCACTGACAGTCAAGGTCCCTGCAGCCAGCGGGTTGATTCTTGTTCATGATCTTCCTAAGTGTGGAAACACTAGACGGGGCAAAGTGGCCCTGAGCTCATCATGGGCACCACACAGGGACTCCCGTTTTCACAAAGCTCTGAGGGTCTCAAGCCTCAGAACTTCAGGGGCCCCAGGTGGGTCAGATAGTCCCTACCTCCCTACAGGCACCTCCATACACCTTTAGAATACCCTCTGACCCCTTCGAGCTTCTCCCCCAGGCTCTCACCACCCCCCTCACTCTCCCATCCAGAAGAGGACGCATCTGGACAGGTTGCACTGCAGCAAACCTCCCCTTGCTCCCCTTCCCAAGCCCCTGGGGGAGTGAAGGGGGGTGTCAAGAACAATGCAGGTCTTATGCAAACTTTGAAGGGGCTGGCTCCAGCCCCAGGGGCTCTGGGGGCTCACCAAGGCACTTAACACATGGAAAGTGGTGGCCCTCACTGCACATGACTGGCAGGGGAGCAGGGGGACAGGAGGTGGCCACAGCCCACAGACAAAGGGCTCCAGAGTATGGTGGCTTGGACTCATTTGTCTGCCCCATCCCCCTGCGCTTACTCACCTGGGAGCCTAGAGCTGGCCAGGATGTGCAGGGCCAGCCTGTGGGGGACCCTGGGGAAGTCCTTGGAGGGGGGTTGGAGTAAAAGACACCTTGACTTCTTAACTGGAAGCATAACACTTGGGGGGTGGGGGGATCTCTCTCAGGTATTGTCACCAGGTGTCCGTTGGTGCTGAAACTGAGAAGGCAGCCATGCGAGGCTAAGTGGAGAGGGAAAATCAGCTTTGAAAGCACAGAGCACCAGCTGCATGACCCCGCCATGGTGGAGCAGGTTATACACAAAGGTAGGGGCCCCTGGGTTGCTCCTGGCTTCCTCTCCTGTCACCCCGCTCCTTCCCCCCCTTCACCACATCCTTCACTGAAAATGACCACCCCCTCCCCCCTTTCCAGCACGGTGGTCTCTGGGAGGTGTAAACAACAATGACTGCACCCAGAGCCTCATCACAAAGTCTGGCCATCTACTTCCAGAAGGGTAGCCCGTGAAAACCCATGAGTGCGCTTCCACTCAGGGGGAGCAACTGATGTGCTGTTGGTCCTGGTCAACAGCCCCAGCCCTCCCCGCCCCTGCTAAAGAGTCCTGGTGGCACAGAGCTTACACATTGGGCCACTGACTGCAAAGTCAGTAGTTAGAAACCACCGGCCTCTTCAAGGTAGAGAGACCAGGCTTTCTGCTCCCTTACACAGTTACAGGCTCAGAAACCCACAGGGGGAGTTCGACTTTGTCCTATAGGCTCACTGTGAGTGGGAATCAACTCAATGGCAGCGAGCGAGTGGACGGCACTGCCCACTAGATCGCCTCCACTCTCCCTCCAGGTCTTTGTCCAGTTCAGTCCTCATGGAGTTACCTCCCAATGGCAGTCTTCACATAGTGCCCGCCTCCTGGGTGATGTCTGCCAGCTACCCCCCCCCTACCCCCGGCCCCCAGCCCTCACGCCTCTCGCCCCACCCCATACTCCAGGACCCCATCCGTATTCCCTCCTCCTCCTGCCCAGCTCTGGCCTCCACATGCTAGAGCAAAAGCCTCCTGGGCCTTTCCCCATTGTGGTCCCTCAGCCTCACACCATCTCCTCTCCTCTTTGCCTGCCCGGGTCCTTCTGCCCTAACCCTAACCCTAACCCTGGGCCAGACTCAGCCACCCTGGTCATTCGTCACTGCCTTGTTACTGGCTGCTCTGCCTGTGGCTTTGTGGCCCCATCTCCCTCCAGGCTGCTCTCCCTAAATATGGGCACTGCCCACCTATAATTCCTGGAAGCTCAGCTAACACCCGGCTGCTCAGCGAAGTTTACTAACATGTAAGATTAGTAATAGGAAACAGAATAATATATATTTTTCAATCAATTGTGCCAGGGTTCTGTTGTCAGGCTTCCTCCACAGTGGAACCTGGAGGTCACTTGCTTATCCCTCCCATCAGACCCCTGCCCCTCCACCTTCACTGCCCTCTCAGGTCTCAGCCCCAACAACAACAACAAAACCATTGCCACAGAGTCCATTCCAGGTCAGGGGACCCTCTATGACAAAGTCAAAATGTTGCATGGGGGGAGGGGGGCTCTAATGTTTATAAAAGCAGATCACCAGGTCTTTCTTCCACAGTACCTTCAGGGGGTTTTGAACCACCAAGTGGTAAATTAGGTGTGGATTTACATTTCAGATCCTTAACTTGGTATTCAGTCATTTAAACTACTAATCAAACCCTCCAAGAGTTTGTCCTTCACCTGCATCTTGATTTTTCTTCTCCCCCTTGAGGGCTATTTCATCCAAGTTAACACCGTCAACTGTCTAGCCCATGGCTTTATCTGCCCGCCCCACCCCTTTAGCCTTCTCTAAAGTCTGCTCCCTTTGTATGAAAGTCCCATTTTGGGGGGTTCTTTTTCCCTCCTTTATAACAGTGATTTCATGTAATATTTAATTTTTCATGATTAGCTAGCTTCACACAGCATGATGTTCTCCACGTCCTTCCAAGCCATGATGTGCTTTGTGATACCATTGTTGTTTTTACTAACAAAATACCAAACTTTTGATCGGAAGTTGAATGCAAATCATTTGTGCTACCTGAAGGTCTGATCTCAGCTGGGGAGGGGTGGATGGGAAGTAAAATAATAGTAACAACAACCCTATAACAGATAAGAACCTCCACAGCTGTGAGCTCTGATTGTGACGGAGACCAGGTTTTGCATTGTTAAATAAACTCACTGATTCCTGTAGCACAGAGTAGAACTGCCCCTGTGGGTTTCCACGGCTGTACATCTTCGTGGTAGCAGACAGCTTCATCTTTTCTCCCTCAGACTGACTGGTGGATTGAAACTGCTGACCTTCTGGTGCTCCTCCCAATTCATGACCCACTACAACAAAATAGGAGCCTCACTTTCAGAACAAGAGGCCTGTGATGACTTCCTGGGCTCAGTGCTTCCCAGGAGACCCCCATGTGTACAAGCTTTAAATGGCTCAGCCAAGTGGTTCCTTCCAACGTAGAGCTGTTCAGCCCCCAACTCCAGTTCTTACACCTCAATTAGCCTGTTTCCCAGCTTTGAAACTTTTCAAAGATCTGCACCCTGGCCATGCCTACGAGAGCTGCCTTATCCCTTTCCTGTACTGCCCAGCACATCCTGCAGCATTAATGGGCACCTGGCTTACCCTCTACACATGGGAGTTGAAGGGGAACATGCCAGGCAGGCTATGTGTTCCCCAGAACTCCTAACACCAGCACACCCTGGGTGTGGGGGCAGGGAAGATCCTGTGGGCAAATGAATAATGAGCAAATGCCTGCAGAGCCACATCTTTCCAATGGTAGACCAGAATCCCCGCCCCCTGCTGGTGCCAGGGTAAGTAGGTTGAACCCCTTTGAAAAGCTGTTTGGCAGTATCTGCTAAAGCTGCAGATCTGCAAAGCCGGTGACCCCACTCTTGGGTGCACACCTGACCAAATCTTCACCAAGAGGCGGGTTCTACAATGTTCAGTGCAGAACTACTAGAATAGTGCTAACCCGCCACCCACCAAACTGTCCACCAGCCACCACTATGCATCGATCCTTGTGCTGTCTACAGGCCTCGGAGCTGGCCCACCCACGGGAGCCCTTCCAAAAGAGAGATGCCCTCCCCTCAGATTTACAACGTTTATGAGTCCCCATAGGGCGACTCTGGAGTCCCCACAATGTGGCAGGTAGCCTCCCTCAGGAAGCCCCAAGAGAAAGCAGAGAGAAGTCCAGGATGTCTTGAATGACCTAGTCATACGCTGTCACTTCCAGGACCCTGTCCATTAGAAAGCAAGTCTACGTCCAGTCCACACCCAAGTGGAGCAGAATTAGTCTCTCTCCACCTTCCGAAGGGAGCAGTGTTAAAGAATGGGCAGACATAGTTTAACACCCACTGAATCGTCCATTGGGTAACACTGAAGAGCATACAAGGAGACGAAGAGAAATAGTAGAATCCATGGATGTTTCTGTTGCTAACACATTGGTATGATTTCTCTCTGTTCTTTTGCGAGCGTGTGTAGTGTGTGTAGAGGCTACTTACAAATTAAACAGTCAACTTGTGGCCTTCAAAAACACTGCTGTTTTCTACCAAATACACCCTGAGAAGAATAACCACTTAGACCTGGGGGTGTAGTGGTTACATGTCAGGTGGGCAGTTCAAAACCACCAGCAGCTCCTAGGGTGAAAGGTGAGGCTTTCTACTCCCATAAACAGTTACAGTCTCAAAAGCCCACAGGGGTCACTATGAGTCAGCACTGACCTGATGGCAGTGAGTTTGGCTTTTGGGGGTTTTATTTTAAGTAACAGCTGCTCCTCGTTGATGGTCATTAACTGGGACTCTGGGTTTCTCCCCTCTCGGCCTCCATAGCCCAGAATTTGATCGCGGGACAAGGCGTGGGCATTAGTCACAAGCTTATCACGCTGGAAATCACCTCTCCGGATGTCCCGGACCTGACCCTCATTGATCTCCCAGGCATCACCAGGGTGGCTGTGGGGAACCAGCCCCAGGACATTGAAATGCAGGTGAGCCTCGCTGGAACTTAAGAGGTGGGTCAGGAGTATGGGGGCTGCGGAGGGCACCTCCTGAAGTCTTCGCTCTGAGTGATTGGAAGGGATCTGGGTCAGCACCACTCTGAGCAGGGCCTTTGACTGAGTTCCTGACTCGGACCTTGTGGGTCACATAAGGGAGTGAGAATGAAGTGGGCCCAGTGGTTTCGGCAGCCATGGGGTCTCCATGAGTCAGTCTCCAGTGACTCGGTTTCAGTCGACTGGTGCGTGTTTGTGTGTAGTGACTATTCATTTTTGGAGGCATCCTGGTGACCCAGCACGTAAACACTCCTTTGTTTACCAAAAGGTCAGCCCAGCAGTTCCATCGGAAAAGGAAGTGGCCACTTGGTTCCATCAGATTCCCACCCCAACTCTCTGCCATCGGGTGACCCCATCGGGCAGGGGAGACCGCCCTGCCCCTGTGGGTTTCCAACACGAACTCTCTATGGGAGTAGAAAGTCCCACTTTCTCCTCCATGGAGATTAAAGCCTGGGAAATCCTAGGGGCCATTCTACTCTGCCCTACAGAGCACGGTGGGTTGGAATCAACCCCCTGGCAGTGGATTGACTCATTTTTTGACCCAAACATCTTATCAACTAACTGACTTTTTGACCAGCTTTTATTTATGTATTTACTGTACTGTTTTTGTCCAAATTATATGTTCCCCTATCAATCTGATCTTTCCCAGTTTAAGGTCTGCCTTCAAGAGGGGAAACGAGAGTTTGTTTCCTAGAGCCAACTGCTGGGAAGGATATAGACACCATGAGGGTCAGATGAGGAATTCCTTTGTTTCTGACTGGCTGAGCCCCGGGTGTTGGGGGG